TACATAGTCAAAGTGCTGGGATTATAAGCGTGAGCCCCCGCGCCCGGCTGAAATTTTTTTCTCCTTTCTGAAAATAGTTTCCTAGTCATTTTGGATATTCCTTTCTCTAACATCTCTTGGTATTGGTACCACGCATTTCTCCATCAAGATGTGTGGTGTGTAGCTTGGTGCACACTGAGAAGGGTCCTGGAGCTGGGAGGAGGGAGGGATGCAGGGAGGAGGGATATCCCCTGCCCATGATCCGTGTGTGTGGTTTTGGTTGAGTTCCCCCTTGACGAATCTGTGTCCCCCAGTGATGTGCTCAGAAGCTTGCTCTGAAGACCGAGAATCCAGCATTCATTCACCCTCTCCACCCCCATGGGAGGCACTGGGAAGTGCTGGATCCTGCGTTCAGACTCTCCTCCCCCGTGGGAGGCACTGGGAAGTGCTGGATCCTGGGTTCAGATTCGGACTCAGTAGTGTCTTGTCTCTCAATTGTCTCAGAATTCCAGTTTCGTCAACTGTAAAATAGGAATAATGGTATTTGCCTCACAGGGTTGTTGTGAAAATTAAACATATGAAGAGCACTGAGCATATTCTAGGGACCTGGATTTTCTGTGGTTCTTCCCCAAGGAGGCACCACACCCAGCAGCACCCAGGAGCCTCAAAGCGTGGTGATCAGTGAGAGCGTCCCACGCTGCTTTTGCTGGAGCTGATTGCATTTATTGATATCCTTATGATGCTAATCTGAGTTCTGGAGTATGCTTCCTCTTCCAACCGAGGGGGTTTGCAGTGACAGTTTGCTCCCAAGTTATGAGACGTCTTATTTTAAAGCAGTTTGCTTTCCTGCACAGTGCTATGCTGAAGGGAGGAAGTGGTGGGAGTGAGGGGGTATTGCGGGAGTTGGCCAGCAGCCTGCAATGCAGCGGGGCTCTCTCTTTGTTCCCAGGCAGATCAGCAGCCTGCAATGCAACGGGGCTCTCTCTTTGTTCCCAGGCGGATCGGCAGGTCGAGAAATAATAGACACACACAAGATAGTGAAAGCTAGGTCCAGGGGGGTCACTGCCTTCTGGTTGCATGGTGCCAACAATGCACTGGATATGCCAGCATTTATTATTAAGTTTAGTGAGGGTAAGGGTAGGTTAGTGAGGGATTTAGGGTTATTTGATTATGAGGTGAGATGGTCACATGGGGATGAAGTAATTCTTTAACATAACATCTGTATGCAGAAGTACAGTATACAGATAAGAATTTACAATAGAGTGTGTGTATCAGCAATTTCTAACAGAGCCTTAAAATGGGAACACAGTCTATCCATAACCTATGATTAGTGAGATATTAATCAGCAGTAACAGTTGCAGCAAAACCTGGTTACAAACAATCCAGAGAAATAGGATATGAAGCTAGACAACCGGTTAGACCAGAAATTCTCAGAAGGGAGTATGTCTTAACCCTAAAGAGGCCTAGAAGAGCCGTGGAAGATGAGGGCGTTTATAGCCCTATCTTGTCCATATGAACAGGCGTCCCCCCCATGCGTCCGTTTGTAGGCTCTCCACAAGGGTCACATTCCATTCCCAGAGCTATGAACATCTGCTTTTCTGGGACAGGAATCTTGGTGATGTGAAACCTCCCTGACTGCACGTCCGTTCATAGGCTCTCTGCAGGGGGAAGCACATCACGTGCTGTTGGCTCATTCTGGCAGCCCAGCCTGGCATTGTCTTTACACAGTCCTGCATGCGATGTTGTATTTACGGTAATCGGGAGCATTTCATCTTTCATTCCGTGGCAGTAGTTTCAGGGGCCTCCCTGCATGGGAGACGTGATCTTTCTTGAGCTCGTTCAGTGTCAGCTCTGTGCTGGCTGCTTTGCACCAGCGCTCTGATTTAGCCCTCACAACAACCTTCTGAACTAGGTTTTAGGATCATTATTATCTCTGTGATTACCCATCTTATCGATGAGAAAACTGAGACTCCGTGAGGCTGAGAAACTTGTTCTAGGATGCAGTGTTGGTGAGTGGTAGAGCTGGGGTTCAGCCCTGGATCTGTCTGACTCTAAAACCTCCCACTTCAGCTCTGCCCGTTTTCGCTGCCCATGGGCAACAGTTGAGGCGAATCAAGCATGGGCATTCTGTCTCACGGGTGGTCTCGTGTCGGTTTTATCTGAGTACCCCTGGCATGCCCTGGCTTTGTTTAGGGAAAAATTTGTGGTTCAGTTTGTCTAGAGAAACACAGGCTGTGGGATGGGGAGTGATGGGAGAGCCTGGGAATAAAGAGACCAGTCAGCTCCAGTGTAGAGCAGTGAGGGCCTGAACAAGGAATAGAGAGAAGGGATAGATTTTTGAGATGAAGCAGAGGAAGAATATTTAGGAGTTAATGATGCAGGGACCAGGAAGAGTCGTAGATGACTGTGACTTTGAACACGGTGGTTAAAGACCCCCGATGCGGCCGGGCACCATGGCTCACGCCTGTAATCCCAGCACTTTGGTAGGCCAAGGAGGGTGGATTACTTGAGGCCAGGAGTTCAGGGCCAGCCTGGCCAACATGGCAAAACTGTGTCTCTACTAAAAATACAAAAATTAACCAGGCGTCGTGGTGCACACCTGTAATCCCAGGTGCTCTGGAGGCTGAGGCAGAGAATCGCTTGCCTGGGAGGTGGAGGCTGCAGTGAGCCGAGATCGCACCACTGTACTCCAGCCTGGGCGACAGAGCGAGACTCCGTCTCAATAAATAAATAAATAAATAAAAATAAAAAATAAAGACTCCCTGTGTTAGACCAAAGCTAGAAACCCTGGAAGAGATACAGAGATTGTTTTGTAGGAAAAAGGATGCTGATTTCAGATCGGCAAGTAGGTGATCAGATTACAGGGCCAGTCTTCAGCCTTGTATGTCCAGCTTGTGACACCACTCCTGGGTTGTTTTTTTGCCCCAAATTCAAGTATTTGGTAAAGTAGTGGTGGGTCTTAAACTTTCTTTTTTTTTTAATTCAGTGGAAACAGGTTGTTTGGGGGTTGTAGAAGGAAGGAAGGCTTGATTGGGAAGTCACCATGAAAGAGGCTTTTTACAGCTGAGATCCAGGTGAGGCTTCCAGGATTGTGGGTGTGGACTTGAGCTGGGCAGGTCGTAACCTCTATGAGTTCACGGGGCCATGAACTCACTGCCGAGTTTCTCCCTTCAGTGGGATGCATCTGTCCCGTGGCTGGGCAGGTCGTAACCTCTATGAGTTCACGGGGCCATGAACTCACTACCGAGTTTCTCCCTTTAGTGGGCTGCATCTGTCCCGTGACTGCAGTGTTTGTGCTTGGTATCCAGGGCAGTCCCTTCCTTCCAGGTATCACAGAACCTGGCAACCAAATTGCTCTTGAGAAAGTTTCGCTGCGTGCCCCGGAAGACGGAGGTCCCCTTTCCTTGCCTAATGCAGCCATGGCTCGTGGTGCCAAAAAGCGTCTGAAGTGCATGGCAGCTCCAAAGCATTGGGTGCTGGATAAATGGACTGGTGTGTTTGCTCCTAGTCCGTCCACGGTCCCCCAAGTTGAGAGAGTGTCTCCCCCTCATCATTTTCCTAAGGAACAGACTTAAGGAAAGAAGACTTGCATGCAGTGGTTCATTAAGATCGATGGCAAGGTCCGAAGTGATACAACCTCCCCTGCTGGGTTCATGGACGTCATCAGCATTGGCAAGACCGGCGAGAATTCCCATTTGATCTGTGACACCAAGGGTCGCTTTGCTGTACATCGTATTACACCTGAGGAGGCCAAGTACAAGTTGTGCAAAGTGAGAAAAATCTTTGTGGGCACAAAAAAGAATATGGTCACCTCATCTTGTGACCATGATGCGCGCACCGTCCGCTACCCTGACCCCTCATCGAGGTGAATGACACCATTCAGATTGATTTGGAGACTGGCAAGATTATTGATTTCATCAAGTTCGACACTGGTAAGCTGTGTGTGGTGACTGGAGGTGCCAACCTAGGAAGAATTGGTGTGACCCCAACAGAGAGAGGCACCCTGGATCTTTTGACGTGGTTCATGTGAAAGACGCCAATGGCAACAGCTTTGCCACTTGACTTTCCAACATTTTCACTATTGGCAACAAACCATGGATTTTTCTTCCCCAAGGAAGGGGTACCCGCCTCACCATTGCAGAAGAGAGAGACGAGACTGGCAGCCAAACAGAGCAGTGGGTGAAATGGTCCGTGCGTGACATGTTAGATCTTTGTACGTAATTAAAACTGATGTGGCGTGATAAAACACACACACACACACAAACACACACACACACACACACAAAGAAAGTTTCTTAGCGTGGACCAAGAAACACAGTGGATGATTTCACCTGGGTGTTAGTAAAGTTGGGGAATTTTTCCAGCTTCTCTATTGAATATGCTTTTCTGGTGACTGAAATACACTTGCATTCCCAGAGACAGCTTCTCTTCTCTTGCACCTGCTGAAACAACACTGTCAGGTTCTTACTCCCCAAACTGCCGTCTCACTCCCTGAAGACTGCGCCTGCCCTCCTGGTAACTTACATGTTAAGTGTGTGTCACAGGGCTTCTGTTTCAGTCTTCTTGAGATTTGAAAGTCTTTGCTGGAGGCTCAGGCCCTCGTTCCGTTGGGAAAGACCGTATGAGTGCCAGGTGCTGACTGAGGCATTTTGTTCGGCCAGCGGCGTCCGCACCAGAAGGCCCACTTTCCTCGCCTTGTTCAGGAGGAACGGTGCTGTGCCTGCCTCCTCTGTCCTGTGTGCTCAATACTGAATTGCCGTTTGGATCGTTTCATTTGGGGTAAAAAATAAAGTTCATTTCATGCTCGCAGCTGAAGGTTTTATAACCCCAAGTAAAGTCCAAAGAGATGCCGCATTAAATGCCTGGTTGGAAATTATTTTGATTTTGTATTGTGAGAGTGTTTGCTAACCTGAGATTTTTCCCTGCTTCATCTGCATTCGTTTCTTAGGGAGCTACTTGCGGAAGCGTTTTACATCCTTCTTAACCGTCTTCCTTTCTCTCTTTGGTTTTTCAATGTTTAGGTGAAAGAAATCACCCGTGACATTAAGCAATTAGATCACGCCAAACGCCACCTGACCACCTCAATCACCACGCTGAACCACCTGCACATGCTGGCAGGAGGTGTCGACTCCCTCGAGTAAGCAATGCCAGCTTTCTCTTCTGGGGCCACGGGAAATGTGTCACATAGAGAAATGGTGTTGTCGGCCTGTTTACTTCTCAGCCGGGAAAGTCTCACCATCCCGTCCCACCTTCTGCAAATTGGCTTCAAGTGTCCAGTCACGTTTTTGCTTTGTGCCCTCTGGTGTTCAAAACCTAACGAACACTGGCAGCCGGTCAGAAGGGGACCCAGGAAGCCTCTCAGAACGATTCCGAGAATATGGCCCGTCTTCAGGCTGCAGCTCTGTACCATCAAGGCAGACAGAGGGACGCAGGCCCACGTTCACTCCCGGCTGCTTCTGCCTCGACGAGTTTCCTACTTGCGTTGGGCTGAGTTGCGCTGTCATCAAAGAGACCCTATATAGGAGACAGAACTCAATCATTCAAACCACTGTTTTTCAATCTACTTTTTATTAGCTTTCCGTTTGGTTTGTAGAGGGAATGATACATCAGAGCATTAGAAATAGTATTAGAAGGAAGAGCTGGTTATTTACTACAGAGAACAGTCTAAAGCCTCCTTTACTAGCAAGATTCTGACACTCCAGCTCACCTCTGTGACCCATCTCAGGCTGGGGACTCCCCCTGCTCCAGCCTCAGTGTGATTCCATGTATGGACAGGGAAAGCTCATCTTCATAGAAACTGAGATACAGCATTCGAAGTCCTGGGTGGGGGAAGTGGGAGAGTGCCTTCAGGGAAAGAGGAGGAGGGGCAGGCCTCTTCCTGACCTCTCTAGGTATTGTATGAGCTCCAGGGACCCCTGGTCCACTCCCCTGTGAGCAGTGAGAGCAGGGGCCAGAGGGAGACCAGAGGGCAGTCACATTTGTTCTTTCTTGGGTGGTGGGTGTCCGCCAAACCAACAGACCAGGCAGCGGTGAGACCAGGTGCTGGTGAGACCAGGCGCTGGTGAGACCAGGTGGTGGCTAAGACCAGGTGCTGGTGAGACCAGGCGGTGATAAGACCAGGCAGTAGTGAGACCAGGCGCTGGTGAGATTAGGCGGTGGTTAAGACCAGGTGGTGGTAAGACCAGGCAGTGGTGAGAACAGGCAATGGTGAGAACAGGCAGTGGTTAAGACCAGGCGGTGGTGAGAACAGGCGCTGGTGGGAACAGGCAGTGGTGAGAACAGGCGCTGGTGAGACCAGGCGGTGGTTAAGACCAGGTGGTGGTAAGACCAGGCAGTGGTGAGAACAGGCGCTGGTGGGAACAGGCGGTGGTGAGAACAAGCGGTGGTGGGAACAGGCAGTGGTGAGAACAGGCGGTGGTGAGACCAGGCGGTGGTTAAGACCAGGCGGTGGTGAGAACAGGTGCTGGTGGGAACAGGCGGTGGTGAGAACAAGCGGTGGTGGGAACAGGCAGTGGTGAGAACAGGCGCTGGTGAGACTAGGCGGTGGTTAAGACCAGGTGGTAAGACCAGGCGGTGGTGAGAACAGGCGCTGGTGGGAACAGGCGGTGGTGAGAACAAGCGGTGGTGGGAACAGGCAGTGGTGAGAACAGGCGCTGGTGGAAACAGGCGGTGGTGAGAACAGGCGGTGGTGAGAACAGGCGGTGATAGCAATGTTGGTAGCAGTGTAACACCTTGGCTTGAACTTGATCCTGTCTTTTTCAATGCCTCTTATGGAAAATCATAAATTATAAATGTAATAAAATAGCCCAACCCTAATGAAAAATTTAGATCTAATAGTTTATATTTCCTCCCTGTGTGTAACTTGATTTTATCAGCATCCTTTTATTGAAGCGACATTAACCTTAGCAGTAGGGAAAGTAGAGGTCTGTGACACAGATGCCTCAGAACCTGCAGATTTCAGTTAATATTTAAAGCTGGGCCCTTTCTGTGTTTTTGTTTTTGTTTTTGAGATGGGAGTCTCACACTGTCGCCCTGGCTGGAGTGCAGTGGCACGATCTTGGCTCACTGAAACCTCCGCTTCCCAGGCTCAAGCGAGTCTCTTGCCTCAGCCTCCCGAGTAGCTGGGATTACAGGCGCCCACCACCACGCCCAGCTAATTTTTTGTGTTTTTAGTAGAGACAGGGTTTCACCATGTTGGCCAGGATGGTCTTGATCTCCTGACTTCATGACCGCTCGCCTCAGCCTCCCAAAGTGCTGGGATTACAGGCGTGAGCCGCCGCGCCCAGCCATGCCCTTTGTTTTGAAAAGATGTGTTTGGTTTGCTCATGGGCTGTAATCCTCGGATAGTAACATCCCTACCCCTGTTCTCTGTCCCAAGCTTGCTAATCCCAAAATATCCAACCCAAATTCTAAATCCATCGTCTTCCCAGATTCCTGTCCCCACACCGAATGAGAATTAATCACTCACACATTCTTCCCACCATAGCACACAACGTGCACTTCTGTTTAGAACATAGTTCATCCTATTTTATACTAGTTAGATGTGTACTTGACTCTCTGTCTTACTGTATGATGTCACCTTGAGAATTTGGACCAGATCCTGTTTTTTGCCTCCCACAACGCACAGGAGCTTATATACTCAGCACTCAGTGAACATTGATTCAGCCGAGTTGATGTCTGTTTGAGAGCTAGAGTAGGTTGTTCTGTGTCTGTATCTTGTGTTCTTAGTGTTTTTCTAGACTTTTAAACTTATTCTTTCCTTGCAGAGCCATGACCAGGCGAAGACAATACGGAGAAGTTGCTAATCTCCTTCAGGGTGTGATGAATGTCCTGGAACACTTCCACAAGTATATGGGGATTCCACAGATCCGGCAGCTTTCTGAAAGGTAAACTATCCCCAGAGGAAAAGTCCATGGGGATTCCACAGATCCGGCAGCTTTCCGAAAGGTAAACTGTCCCCGGAGGAAAAGTCCATGGGGATTCCACAGATCCCGCAGCTTTCCGAAAGGTAAACCATCCCCAGCGGAAGTGATCTTGCTTTTAGAAAAGGACCTGGTGCTGGGAGGTGCTTAAGCCCTTAGCTCAGCATGTTCACTGCAGAATCCTACTGTGTGAAGAAACCTCAGATGCTACCTGATCTGACTCTGTCTGGTGCAGGCATCCCCCATGATACCCCTTACCGTGTCTTCTAAAGCTGCCTATCGTAGATAGTTGCAGTTGTGTATATGGACAACTCTCAGCTGTCCCCATTTGTGAGGGAAACTGTTCTAGGTATCTATTTCTTTGTAACAAACCAGCACAAAACTTAGTAGCTTAAAACAATAATTGTTTTGCATGTATAATTTGGCCTGGCTCAGGGGGACCAGCTCATCCCTGCTCCGTGCAGCATTAGCCGAGGCAGCTCAAGAGGGACTGGAGAATGCACTGGCTCCCTCTCATGGCTGGCACCTGGGTACTTGCTGTCAGCTGGGAGCTCAGCCAGGCCTGGGCTGGGATTCTCTGTTGTCTTCTACGGGCTTCTTGGACTTCCTCATGTTAAGGTGGCTGGTTCCAAGAATGAGCGTCACAAGAGAAGCAAGCCTGGGAAATTTCATAGCATCACTTCTACTGAAGTCGCAAGGCTGCTAGGATTCAAGAGGAAGGAACATAGTCTTCTCCCACCCACTAATGCTAACGGGAGGAATGTCAAAGTCACATCATTACAAAAAGCACGTGGGATGGGATAGATTGCTGTGATGGTCTTTAGAAAATACAGTGAGCCATGGCCGGGCCCTGTGGCTCACACCTGTAATCCCAGCACTTTGGGAGGCCGCGGCAGGTGGATCACCTGAGGTCAGGAGTTCGAGACCAGCCTGACAAACATGTTGAAACCCTGTCTCTACTAAAAATGCAAAAATTATCTGGACATGGTGGCGGGCGCCTGTAATCGCAACTACTTGGAAAGCTGAGGCAGGAGAGTCACTTGAACCTGGGAGGCGGCAAATATATATATAGATGAAGCCTAAGTTCCCTTTACCTAGACCTCAGAATCCCATTATTCTCTCCAGAGGTGGTAACTGTTATCAGTTTAATGGATATCGCTCCGGATTTTTATGTGTGTATTTACATAAATCTATAGTTTCAGTTAATGGTTTTGGTTTTGCTTTGTTTTGTTTTAACTAAATGGTTTCATACCTTACGCTTTATTCTAAAAACTGCTTTTTGTTTTCAACCACATGTATTTTAGATATTTGTTTTTCACGTCAGTATGTATAGACCTGCTTCATTCTCTGGAATTTTTTAGATTTTTTTTTTTTCACATCAGTGTGTATAGACCTGCTTCATTTTCTAGAATTTTTTAGATTTCTTTTTTCAAGTCAGTGTGTATAGACCTGCTTCATTCCCTGGAACTGATGCACAGAATCCCGTAGTATAACACGCCACAGGTATAGCACTAGATCGTTTGTTTCTAAATCTTAAAATATGCCCCCATTTGCACATATGCAAGTATTTCTCTAGGACAGATTCTGGGTTATAGGTTTATATACATTTAAAATTTTAGTAACTACTGCCCATTTGCCCTGCAGCGAAGCTTTGTATACTTGTAGTACGATCTGTGAATTGTGAGAGCACCTTTCCCGGCACCCTCAGCTGAGAGCACCTTTCCCGGCGCCCTCAGCCACACGTGATGTTGTTGTTCCTCATTTTCATCTCTCTGATGGTTGAAAACGGTATCCAGTTCCTTTAATTTTCATTTTCCGTGTAGCTAGTAAGATGAGTGTTTTGCTTTGTTTTTCTGAGACAGAGTCTTGCTCTGGTGCCCAGGCTGGAGTGCCGTGGCGCGGTCATCGCTCGCTGCAACCTGGAACTCCTGGGCTGAAGACATCCTCCTGCCTCCACCTCCTGAGTAGCCGGGAGTACAGGCAAATACCACCACGCCTGGCTGAGTAGCCGGGAGTACAGGCAAATACCACCACGCCTGGCTGATGTTTAACATTTTTCTGTAGAGGTGGGATCTTCCTGTGTTGCCCAGGCTGCTCTTGAACTCCTGGACTCAAGTGATCCTCCTGTCTCATCCTCCCAAAGTGCTGGGATTACAGGCGTGAGCCACTGTACCAAGCCCCAGTTGTATTCTTCATCTGAAGACTCCTGCGTTTCTCACACCCTGAGAAATTATTCTCCTTTATTCCTCTCTTTGGGTAGTCTCTACAGCTTTGTCTCTGCATTCTCTCCTCATGGAATTCTTGTTACGTGAACGTTGGCGCTTCTAGATCTGCTGCCGTGTCTCTTAATTTTCCTTTCATGCTTTCCGTCTCTCTGTCCTTCTGAACTGCTCTCTGAAAGAATTCCTCAACCCAGTCTTCCTGTTTTAATTTACTCTTCACTTGCATCTAGTCTGCTATTTGGCCCAGCTGTTGAATTTTTATTTTAACAATCCAGCTTTTTAATTTCCAGCATATCTAGCTGATTCTTTTCTCATGGGCATAATGTTCTCATATATCTCCCACAGAATAGAAATTATCTGTATGTTAAAGCGCTGGGCTGCCTGTTCCATTTCTCTGTCGCCAGTGTAAGATCTTCAGTTTGTTCAGCGTGGCAATTCTCTCTCTTTAGCATTTCTCAAATGTGTGGTGATTCTTAGCTGAAAGCTCATTTTTATTGTATTCATTGATTTTTTGTGACCAAGTCTCACTCCATCACCCAGGCTGGGGTGCAGTGGCATGATCTCAGCTCACTGCAAGCTCCGCCTCCCGGGTTCAAGAAAGTCTCCTGCCTCAGCCTCCTGAGTAGCTGGGACCACAGGTACCCACCACCCACGCCCACCACCCACGCCCACCACCCACGCCCAGCTAGTGTTTATATTGTTAGTAGAAACGGGGTTTCGCCATGTTGGCCAGGCTGGTTTCAAACTCCTGACACCTCAAGTGATCCACCGGCCTCAGTCTCCCAAAGTGCTGGGATGACAGGCGTGAGCCACCGCGCCTGGCCTCGTTTTTATTTTTGATATTCTCTGTTAGTCTGATCAAGAATGCTCTTTAGCTGCTACCTGCTCCTGGGCGAGAAGTGGGAATTGCTGCTTGGCCAAGTGTTATCACAGACAGCTCTTCCAAAGTGAGGGATCCAGACCTGGAGAAACCTACCAGGTGGGTGTCCCAGCGGCTGATCTCCTAGGCTTGGAGGCTCCCTGGTCTTCCTGGGTGTTGGCAGCCCCTCTGGCTACTGCTGAAGTTCTCAGACCCAGAGGCCCACCTCTGCCACCTGGCGTGAGCATTCACGGTGTGGGTACAGACGTGGACAGCGGCTGATTCCTCCTATTGCAGGGCACAGCATGCCCTGCTGGCAGCAGACCCAGGGCCACATCCTGCTTCTGGTATCACCACCTTCATGTCTTTCATTTTCAAGAAGCATTTTTGGGCAGTGATTTCCTGTCATCCTTCCTACCAGGAAGTCCTCAGGCTTCTAGTCTACCACTTTTCTTGCCTGGATTTGGATTTTTATGAAAATCTTTTTCTTACTTCTAAGGCTTCGGGGCATCAGTGTGCATCTTGTCATGGAAATGCCAAAGAATATTAGGGAATGTTGGAGCAGAGCTTGGCAGAACACTAGGGAAACCGCCACCCTCTCCCTCCTCCTTCCTACCCCTCGAGGACACCTGGAGCCGGCTGATCGCCTTATCAGACTGGACTGTGAGGCAGCCAAGCAAGCAGGCGAACAGGACTTTATGAGCTGCGAGAAGGAAGGAGCTTGGATGGAGCAGGCAGATTTGCTGTCAGCAGATGAGGGAGGAGGAGGAAGGCAGTCCCTCCTACCCCTGCTCTCAGGGTGATTCAGAGTCGATCTCTTTCACATTCATTTGTTCTTTTCTTCATTTACGTGACAGATATTTACCCTGCATTTTCTACATCCTGGGCCCTGTGCTAGGGGACTGAAGGCACAAAAATAAGAAATACACACTCTCTGCCTTCAAAGAGTTCACCATTTTTGTATGGAGAAGAAAGACATTAATAGAAGATTCCAGCGTAACAGATGTAACAAAACCATGGTATATGCTGTACAAGGTATAGCAGGATCTCAGAAGAGGAACTGATAGGCTGAAGCAGGGGCTAAGGGCATTGGGCATAGACAAATTCCATTTTAATTGGAATCTTAAAAGAATGGGTGGCATCTTACCAACGTGACAGTAAGCGGGGAGAGAAGGAAGAGGGAGCCTCAAGGAGTTTGGAGGCAGCAGAGGGAGATAAGGCTGTGTAGGTAAATGGGGTCTGGTTTTATATACCTTGCTAAATATTTTTTATTTTGTGGACAGTGAAAGATTTTAAGCGTGGGGGGCATGATCTCACTTGTATTTTGTAAAAGTCTAGTGGATTACAGAGGTACAGGAGTCTGGATAGTAGGAGTATGTTCTGGATTAGAAAAGATAAGACCCTTATCAGGCAGTGGCCATGCACTCACGGAGATGTGTGTGGGAGCCGATCTCCAGTCGGTGTAAAGAAGGGGGTTGTGCATGGCAGGAACATGAGAGAACTAACTTTTATTTGGCAGAAACCAGTGTAGGGATTCATTAATAACTCAAAATGGATCTGTAGCTAGATGTAAAACCTAATTCTAAAACTCTGAGAAGAAAACAAGAGCAGATCTTCACAGCACTGAATTTGGCAGCAGTTTCTTGGATATGACACCAAAGTCCTAGGCAACAAAAGAAAAACATAGATAAATTGGACTTTATGAAAAATTTTAAAACTTGTGCATGGAAAGACACTATCAGCAGGGTAACATGGCAACACACAGAATGGGAAGAATATTTCCAAATCATTTATCTGATAATGGATTAGTATCTAGAATATACAAAGAATTCCTAAAAATCAGCAACAAAAAGCCGAACAACTCAATTAAAAAGCAAGCAAAG